GGGACGCCAATGACGAGCATGAGTATCTTTTCATGTCCGAAGATCCCTTTCTCCCGGAAGGAAGTATAGCAACATCATACTTTAAAAGGGAGGATGAAGAAGGAAGATTTCCGTAAAAAGAATCAAACGAGTATTTAAACTATAACCTGTACAGGGATATTGCCATTACTTCCTAAATAACAACTACTAAGCATTGATCTTGAATTGCAATGGATATAGAAGAAAAGCAAAATAAAATCGGTTACAGTAGTGCATTTGAGAAACGGAAAATTCTCGTTACTCTCCTTTTTCTCTATCACGTTTTTCTTTTTTATTTTATAGGGCTTCAAGAGTGTTTTTCTTCCTTTCTCTTTCATTCATAAAGCAGTGAGATTGAGAAAAATCAAAAGGCTGCATATTCCGTTATCCAGATCATTTCCTTTCTCAGCGCAATTTCGATATTTTTGAACTTATTTTATTGACTAGCTTATTTGACATAACATTTTAAAAAAATGTCTACCACAGAAAGACATCATCATAACTTTACACTCAAAGAAATTCGGCGCGAGGCGGCCCCGATACCTCATACTAGCTTGGATTGTGCTGATATTCAATCCTCACTTACAGACTCTGTCGATGAGTGGGACGCGTCTTTGCGTCCTCTTCCGGAGGACTACAGCATCTCCGCGAACCCGCGTCGTACCGTTCCTGCTGAAATCGATGACGTCGAGAGGGAGCTCGCAGGCGAGGAGGTCCAGGTAACGTTTCACTTTTCGACTTCCGTCATGCAATACGACGGCGTCGCGAAGAAGATTACCGAGCAGGATGGAAAACTTACCCTTACGCACAACTTTTACATGGGTCAGAATATTGAGCATCTCAAGGTTTTTTTAGATGAGTTTTGTGGTCTGCCGTACGAGAAGATTTCGCTGTATATAGGAAAATTGTTGCTAATGGATCCACTATCCCTCAGTGACTTGCCTTTCAAGGTGAATGAAAGCAATGATATCACGGTGATTTTTACGGAGTAACTTTTTTTTGTTTGTGTAGCCTTTCTATTTCTTTCACTCTAATAAGGATAACGAAGGGCGAAGATGTGGTGGCTTGAAGTTAAGGTATACTTGAAACTGATCTTATGGAGCCTTTGTCATTAAGTTTTTACTCTTTTTCTTTCTGAGGAAAGGCCTTTTTCGAGAGAAGCTCGGCTATTCCACTTTCAATTCAATTGACTTAAAATTGTGGCTTAAGGATTTAATATTTGAGTCCACTATTTTGTGAGTTGTGAATTGTTCTTGGTACCACTCTCCTTGGCATGTATTCTCAGGCTAATATTTTCACCCTATGGTTTGGTTTTTTGAAGGAGTGAGGTAGGACATACAATTGAAATACAGATCCAGCAATAATTGTTATAGCAACACCCTTTTGCCTTCAAGGTGAACAAAATATGAGGAATGCTTACAACTAGCTCAATAGTTTTCGGTTTTGCGTTTTTTTTATTATGTAAATCTATTTTAGTTTCCTGTTTATACACCGATAAATGTTTATTAAAACTAAGACGCACTGCGCTTCACTTTGATTTTTTCGTTTCGTCATGCATTGTGTGGGGTAAAATAGCATGCCATTATTATGAAAGTTGTGGATAAAACAATTGAATGAAGTCTCAAAATTAAATGTTCTTAATGAAAAAGCTTAAGTACTGATAACTCACGTTCAAAGCCGAACGATGAAGAGAGCAGTAACCTTCAGTTAGTCTATTTTCTATTCTTCAACAAGAGTTGTGCAGTGCAATTCCATGTTTTAAAATGCTTCGTAGTTTCAGCTCTCATTTTTTATCAAGTTCCTTGCACAAACATATAAAAGCAAGGTGAAGTCCTATAGACGGAGACGAATTATCTCAGTCTAAAGCGCGAGTAGTTATAAAAATTTGCATCTGGGTAACCCCCCCCCCAAAAAAACACCAGCGCCGAAATGATTCGGGTTCAACTAGGTGGCTTTGTTGCGGGCTTTCTTCTCACTGTAGTAGCCTATTATCGTTATTTTGCGATACCTTTAATTGATGTACACAAAGAGCAATACCGTAAGCTGGGAGCTATAGATGAGCAGTTGAGAAAGTCCCTTAAAGAGACACTCGAAGTTGCTTCGGCTAGGCTTCAGCATTACTCGAGTGATACTATACCCATCTCCCCCGCTTCAGATTCATTTGAACAGAAATTGGTGTCTTATGTTGATCAAGAAAATGTAGCTAAGTCAGATATCTCATGATGCAATCATCGCACTATGTGAGCTTATTAAAGTTTAAAAAATAAAACAAATCCAGGTATACCAGTCCGACTTCGGGGGTATCTTCAATTTAATTGCACCTCTTTTTTTATTTACTCTTTTTTATACACGGACTTTAATGTGTGTGTCTGAGTGAATTTTGGTTTGCGTGGATAGACGCATCAAATATCACTCAAATGTATTTTTTTGGAAAAGGTGATGAATAAATCAAGTACTTTGAACAAAGTAGTTGTTTATGTCGGTATTTGATAGTGTTCATTTTTTTTGGGGTTTGTACCCTTTCGTTATTCACGATTTCGAAGCTTTCACCATAACTTTCTTAACGAAGAGAAACTGGAAATATTTTTCGCATGAAATTCATTTTTACTATTGTCTCTCCTGTTCACATTATGGCAATCACTTTTATCCTTCTTATTCAATGGTCTTGATATAGGCTGGATTACTCCCCTAACAGAACCAATTTACAAATATTGTGGGAAGGGGGTGAGGGAGGGAAACTAAGGAACCTGAGCACCCCTCGCACAAATTTCATAAAGTTATTTTTTTTTTTTGAGACCTTTTACTATTTTGCCATTTCATCTCTTTCCGAGTCGATGCCGGGTGAAGTTCACCCCTACGAGTCCCTCCCCCCACCCCCCGCCATCCAGTTCGCGGTGAGCCGTCTCGAGAAGAACTCGATCCACCATCTCACCCTCGGTGGCACGACCCACGGCTTTCTCAACACAACCGGGGCCCGACAGCTCCGCCGGCCCCTCGCCACGTCCACCTCTTTGATCTCCCTCGTGTTGGACCTCCGTCATTCCACCTTGCCAGCCACTGGGGTGGTATTGCGGGCCGCCGCGTGCAGTCGCGGTCTCACCGCGGTCACAGTTGTGGGCGGCCTCACCGTGGCAGAGGCGAGGGCTGTCGCGGCCGGGCTGGGGAGCTTCGGCCTGGGCCAATCTCTTCCTATTCTAGGCTCCGGGGAGGCCCCAACAGGCGGTCATGGGACACGATCTCGCCCATTGACACCGACCCTCCCAGAGAGGGGGTCGCCCCGTGTCCGTTCCGTCGCGGGGTGTCCTCCAAGGGGCGGGCCAGGTGGGGTGGGGGGGAGAGCAGCCCTAGGGGGTGGGGGGATCGTTAGCCAGGCCCGATGTCGTGGCTCGCCGGATCCGTCCTCCCCGCGTCCATGGCTCGAGGGCGGGAGAAAGGGGGGGAAGTCAGGGGTCCCCTGCCCGCCTCGACATCCCGTGAGCCTGACATTGGTGCTCCACCGTCTGGATGCGGCCGTGGGAGGGGTCCTTGTTGAGGGCCTTCGCCGGGGTGAGCGGATCACGAGTGTAGTGCTACAGGTACTTCAGCTGGGAGGGCAGACATCAACGAAGCAGAAAGATGAACTACAGTATGCTTCTTCTCTCGAAGCTGTTGCATTGCAAAACAGAGAGCGCATGCGGTGCCTTGAGTGCCGGACGGGTGTGGTGCCGTTGCGACCTTCATCTCCACATGCATCCATATGCTTGGCTCCGCTACAGACTTCACGTTTCCCCTCCCGGGATAACAAGAAACGGAAGGTGAAGCGGGCCGGACTGAACTGTGCTTGCAGTGCAGGAAAAGAGAAGGGTACTTTGCGACCTTCAGATGCTTCTCCGCGTTTTCATACTCCAGCGTATACGTTGGGAGCAAGTGAAAGACGTAAATACTGTTTCTCTGAAAAAGTCGTAGCATTAAATATTGTGCGAAAGCCTCACCCTCCCCGAGGCTTCCGGGCAGCTGGAGCCGAGCAAAAGGCCAGCGTCGCTCCTTTGAAGACTGAAAGAGTATTGAAATATGGTCGCCAACCACACCCTTCATATACTCCATCCACCCCAAGGGGTTTCCGGAGGGTGCGTAGTAGATGTTTGGATCGTGTAGTCACGCCTTCATTATCTGATGCATCAGGAAACAGCAATGGTGACCTTACGCACAAGACTCGTCCGCATTCTAATGATAAAGGGATGATGCTGACCCCACCCTTGCGTCGATACTCGCCAGTGCAGCTCATTCCACATCCTCCACAGCGGCAGCGAGGGTGCACTAGGCTTTCGTCTCGCGTTACCAAAGGCCACTGCAACACCGAAGAAAATACTAACGTAAAAACTCATATGTGTTGTATGCGCGCTAACGGCTGCAAATCGCCAGCTTCTCCTTACCAACGCTCCGTTTTATCTTCACATATTTCATCTCGGATTAGCGAGTGGAGGGGGACTTCATCAACGCCATCCTCTACGACAGTGCCCTCGCCACCGCCGCGACCTCCGGTCCGGCCGCATCATAAAATCACCGGAGTGCCTGAGGACGAAAAGTGGATTCCCGCTGCTTACATCCGACCCCACCCACGCCAGGAGAAACAACCTTCGTCAGACATGCTTCCTGAGATGGTGCCCTTTGATGTGCCGTCGTCTTCACGGCATACGCTATTCGTTCCCTGTGTTCTTGGGGCACCAGGGCAGCCTAGGGAAGCCTCACTCGCTGTTTCGGTTACCCAGTGCATATCCAACCGAATCCGTGCCCAGGAAGGGACCTCCCCTCGATCGGCTTCCAGGGGAGCTTGCACCGGTTTTGCTTCTGCACACCGCTGCTTTGTGTGCAACTTGTTGGGCGTGGGTGGCCGTTCACCGAAACGAGGCCCCACCGTCCTACGCAGTGCGAGTCAGGTTCAAAAAGCGAGCCGATCAAAACCTCGTGCTTCCCCTGAAAGCCCTTCAAAAACAGTCACACGGCCTCAGGGTACGGAAAAGGGAAAAACCAAAGGCGGTGACGCCCAAGCCCGTATTCCTTTCTTTTCTTCACGGCGGAAGGCTTCTGGGCTGACCCTCTTACCACCCGAAGAAGGTGCGGGGGTTGCTTCCGTAGCCGCCACAAAGGATTCTGCGGATATCCCAACCCCTCTAGGTGGGACCCTGAAACCTCATCATTGCAGCGGTGGCGGCACATCTCTTTCCTCTGGCCAGAATTCCTTTACCATGGAGGACATTCATGCCGCTGTGAAGACCACCGCCAGACGATTGGATAGGCGTGCCTATTTTCGTCGACTTAGGACTGCTAACTCGAGCACTGCCTCATGCATAGGTTATGAACACTCCGTAGAGCAACAACCAAGTCTACAGATGCGCTCCATTTCGCCCCTTGGCGAACAGATCGAGAGCGCACAGCGGCCGGTGTTACCTCCTTTTCCACCATTGAGCCCTCGTCCACTGTGTAAGCCCTGCGCCTATGATGATGCTAAGATTGCCAACACAACCAATAGTGTGGAGGAGTACATCAATGGAGTCAAGGAGGATGACGGTGAGGAAGTTACACCACTAAAGGAGTACCCATCCCTGGAGATGACGCCGCGCGTAGGAAGTCTAGGGACTTCGAAGCCCGTCTCACCGGCCCCTCTGACTTGCGCTAATCATCATGGCGAAAGTTTTGAAATCATCGGCGTGGGGGGCGTCACGGACTCGCCTCTATTGCTAGCATTACCTCCTCCTCATGAGCCGTGCACCACCCATGCGGGTGGAAAACAATCAGGTAGCTTTAGCAGGGGGCCTAGGAACCCTTTCTCTATACAGAAACAGAGCCTCATGCGACTGCAGGAATGTGTGCAAACCATTCAAACTAAGTTAAAAAGTTACTGTGTCCAGGTGAAGGAGGAAACGAACCTGGTTGTACAGCACGTAGATCAGCTGAGCGGGGTGATGGTGCACGAGGTTTCAGGTCAACTCTCGGATATACTAGTTGTGTTAAAAGAGATAGAGAACGCTTAAATATTGTCTTTAAAAAGCAGTAACAGGAATTTTTTTGTCATTATTATTTTGTTATTCCCATCCTCAGATTCATAGCACAAATAATTTGTTTATTATTTCATATAAATGTACAAAATCATCGCTTTACATTTATTTTACTCTTATCCCATTTTTTCCCATGTCCTTAACTTTTGTTCCATATTTAATATTATCTTGGTGCGTATCGTTAGTATATTGGATATAGACATGATCTTTTTTTTGTGAGAATGGGGCATAGACATTCTTCAGTAAGTTTTGCAAATAAGACATACCTGCTACACGCACCAATTAACTGCTGTTACCCTTTATTCGGGTGTTTCTTTATGGTGAATATTCATTTTCAAACTACACTCTTGAAGCTACAAAAATCAAAGGTCAGAGCAATTAGAAACAAATCTTAACACTCACACGAGTGCAATCCGTAAATGATACCGAATGAGTTACATTTTTGTCATTTGGATCTCGGACATGTCGATAGATGCTTGGTTAAAATTTTTTTGAAGGTTTTGAACAACATTGATTGAAAAACTTTTTTAAATCGTTATTTTTTTCTATTTCCTTTTCGAAAGCATCGGTTACAAAAAGGCACTTGAAGCGAAAACCTTTTGATCAGTTACAATTTTTATTAAAACTACTATATCCACTGAGTGAATGGTGGACGGAGGACTAAGCGATACGAGTACCTGAATCTTTTCGACAAGACACACCCAAGTGCTCATCAAAGGGGCTGCCTGTTTGAAATTGCCTCTGACTTTTTCCTTTAAGGTATACGGTCTGCATTGCAATTTACCCTTGAGGGACACCCGAAATGATGACGAAGCTGTCTGCTGGACAGGTGGGAAAGCTTGTTTGTGACTCTTTTGGCGAGTTACTGAGTAAGAACCTTGACATCAAACCCATTGTCCGCGCACACGAGATTGTGTCAGCGAGTATGAAAACGGTTGACCCATCCATGGCGTTGTACGTCTTTGGCTCAACGGCAGTGTATGGGTTTCACGAAAGCGGTTGCGATGTCGACTTTGTAGCTCTCAGCAGTCAGGATGTGGTGGATGGCAAGGGTGCGGACCCGTCATCCGAGCTGGCCAAGAACCTGCAGGTGGACTTTCTCAGCCGCCTCCAGACTTCCCTGCGCGAGATGCACAATTTGACATGGCAGGTAGATCTGGTGCGGCGAACTCGCGTGCCGGTCTTACGGGTGAAAGGGGGCCCTTGCGGGATCGATTTCGATGTTACGGCGAGGAGGCGCAATGGAGTACGCAACAGCGCGCTACTGCGTGCGTACTTCGCGCAGCAACCTGCCACTCGATGGTTGAGTATGGCAATAAAACAATGGAGCAAGCGTGCGGGATTTAACATGAGTGTCGATGGTGGGTGTCTTACCTCTTATGGATGCAACTTGATGGTGGTATTCTATCTCCTGCAGCGCCGGCTGGTAGAATTTGTCGAGCCGGAAAGATGCGATGTAGCGCATATTGCTCCACTGCCCTCGTATCTTCCGCTGGAACTTCCTACACAGAATGGCTGTGAGCTTGGAGACATGGTATTGGATTTCTTGAATTTTTATCTTCACGAGTTCAACGCGGACACCGAAGTTATTACCTTAAGCAGGACTGAGAAGACAACTAAGGAGATGTTGCATTGGACGAAGCAGGCGGAAGACATGGCGCGTATTTGTGGGGAGAAGGTGAACTATCGCTGGTGCATCGAGGATCCGTTTGAGCACAACTTAAACGTGGGCCGCTATGTGACGCCATTTAAACTGACGTTACTGCGGAAGCATATGGAGCGGGCCAAGGAAACGGCACTACTACTAAACACAACGGAACCTGCCTTTAGAGAACCCCTGTGATACGAGAGGGGAAAGAGACATGAGTTAGTAGAGAGGATTTCATCTTCACCTACAGAAAGAAAGAGATTAAAGTTCTGACGGATACGATGTCTCTCCTATTTGTGTTTTGTGGATTTTGGTTCCACCATCATTTCCACTGGTGATAAATGGAGGAGCAAGGGAAAAAAACAACCACATTCTTCACATACATGCACACACACATAAATGTGTTATTTTTTACTACAAAAAATTTCCTTGCTTTCTGTGGAATTCACGCTTTTTTTATGTGTGCCTTTCCCCATGTCACTCTCCAAGCTCCTTGTTCTTGTTACATTGTAAGAGCTGCGAGAGTGAATCGTCGAATCTGACTCCTTGTGCCTTTTTTCCGATTCTTTGTGTTTTAATCACACATAGTTTGATTTATACGACCTTAATATAGGATTCATTTCTCCTTTTTATTTTCTATCCTTAGATCCTGAATTTACCGCCTTTTGCTCATTAGATGATATGAGCAGAATATTCAGTCTAGTGTCGAGAAGTCATGCGCCACAGCTTCTAATGTTATCACGAGCCGCTTCTTTTCGCTTCCAACGGATAGAGGCAATTTCACCAACTTCTATGGTGATTTTGCAGCGGCGTGAGCCGCGACGCTGGCAATGGGGTAGCAACAACAACAATAACAGCAGCAGCAACATCTATGACGTTGGCCAGAAGACAGGCAGCGGGGAATTTGTGGAGGATGAGGCAAGTGCGTTGGAGTCAGAGCTGGCGTCGGTGTTAGAAACGGAAGGAGAGCAAACATCTGAGTCGGGCCCCACTCGCTCGTATCCAGAAACGCCAACATCGTCGTCATCACGGATTCAGATGGAAAGAATCGACCGACCACCCGCGAGGTTTGACTTGCTTACAAACTCACTGGTGTATCGTTGGCAGACAACCGCACAATACGCGCGTAAGATATCTGGTCCTATGCGAGAGTGGGCGGCTGAGCTGAAGTACCGTACCGGTGTGCACATCGAGCTTGAGCCAACTTATCCGAATCGACTTTTGATGACTGCAGCGGAGGGGGGTTACACGAGTGCGGATGAGGTAGACATTACGGTATACTTGTTTGGTAGCGAACGTGGTATTTTGAACTGCCAACAGCTGATGGAGACGATCATGGAACTGGAGCCGGCGTATGTTCGCCTTGGCGTGTTCCGCCGCCTGCCTGGTACCACCAGTCCCGGTGAAGTGGAATGGCTGATGCTGCGCCGCATCAACCGCGAGCTGCGCCCCCCTGACATCCCACCAATCTCGCTCAAGCTCCCTGGCAAGTGGACGTTCCTTTACGAACAGTTCAAGGAGGCTGCCATCCGGTCCCTTTGGGAGGAGACGGGCATCACCGTGAAGCCGAGTGACGTCTTCCCGACGGCGAGGCTGTTACAGTCCATCCCAGCCTTCTATTGGCGTGTGCCGGTTCACTATTTTGTCGCGGAGGTGCCCTACGATGTAGAGGTGCTGGGGCCGCAGGTGACGCCGAGCACGTACGTCCTCCACTGGGATTCACAACTGCTGCGGAGCTCTCCTGATCCCATCGACCGCGTCTGGGCGCAGCTGGCGAACCCAGAGACGGGATGTGGCTGGATGCGGCGGGAGATCATCGACGAGCTGCAGCGGCCGCTTCGTGGAGACAACTACATTGCAGTTCGCTACACGCCGCCACCGTACTCAAACCTTGCCCCTACCCTGGGGTTTGATATTCCGACTGAGAAGGATGCACAGGAAAAGGCCAACGGAGCTGACAGTGATGAATAGCGCTTAGGGATTCCCACCCCCTAGTGCTTAGATGTTGGTGTGGGATGTAGGAAAGATGAACTTACTATCTCAACTCAACTCAATTTTCGTGAAGATGAGGTTGCTGACGGTGAATGGAGGAGTGAACATGATACGTCAAAGCAGTGAATTGGCTTAGTTTGGAATGTGTTGGTAATTTTTAGAGAAAGAAGAAGGGGGAGACCATTACAAGTGAAGCTGATAAAAGGGAAAAGAGTAGCGCATCGTAAGCGTCATGAAATGAGAATGAAGCTTCTAATGCGTGATTTTTCCTTTTTCTTTTGTGTGGATGAGTGTGCCTTTATCGTTGTGCTTTGGGTTTATCTAAGCGTCGTTTTACCGATTTCAATATTTATGTTATGACGAAAGCCCGCATTGCGACCTTTTCTTCTTGGAAAGTCGGCTTATACAAAGGGGAATCATGGGGGGTCGATGTGGTAAGCGTAGCCAAGCATCCAGCACAAAAATGTAGCCCTGACCAGCAAAGAAGAAACCAATTATATGGGCACCAGGTCTAAATAGAATTTTGATTCCGTGACATCTCCATCAACTGTGAGGACACTTCTAAACGGATAATTATTTTTGTTAATGCACTTTTTATCTGCCCCTTCAAGATCGAATAAATCTTCTGTATAGGTTTATAACCTCATGGGTTGACGCGCATGCACATGGTCATTCCCCCCCTTTCATTAGGGAGCAGTGGAGTACGCCTCATGGGAATAAGTAATAACTTCTGCGCCAATAACTATGGAGGAGTTTGCCTTTCCAAGGCCCGTGCTAGTCGCTGGTCGATCGGGTTCAGCGCGGCACCGTTGTAAGTACTGAAGGTTGTCCTTTACGATTCCGTGTGCCTATTGTCCTTTTTCCGATATGCGACTGACGAGTATCTCACAAGAGTGGATTTGTATTTTTTAAAATATCTTTCGGTTGAAAGAGCAATAATGCTGTTGCAAATCCGCCGATCAGCGAGTTCAACACACGGGGCTGCACTATATCGTAGATCTCGCCTCGGTGTTAGTTGCTGAGAAGTTCTATATTCGCCCTTTTGATAGAGGTTTGGAGTTGCATGTGGATTTGGTTGAGAAGTTTGTCTTATCCATTAATTTCCTCTCCTCTCTTTGGAAAGGAAACTTATCGAAAATAGTCCGAACACAAGGGGCTGTTTCCGTGTTGTGTTGGAATCTGTGCGATGTTATGTAGCTTTTCATTACATGTTGAGGAATATCGCAACGTGTGGGCCTTCTAGCGTGTGTTTGTTGACTTTCTGTATCCCTTTGAGCTGCAGCTCGTCTCACAAGCGGTAGCAATATCGACGTGATCTTGCCGTGTGTTTGGGCATCCGGGGGTGGAGAGGGTTGTTAAAGGAACTGGGGGATATCCTGGTAGTGGATAAAAGTGGTAGTCCAATCCAATGAAGAAGAATATGAGAATATTGAACACTCACTTTTTCCTTTCCGAAATACTCTCCTTTTCACCGCGGTGATTGTTCGTAGTTCGAATTCCTGAGGGAAAAAGAATATGGCTAAATTCATATAAGTATACTCCGTATGTTGCAAAAAATGTTGTAATGAAGAATTAACTCCCATTTTGCATCACATGGAGATTAATTCGATTGACTATCAGCAGTGGGGCTCCCCTAAATGATTACTGATATATGTTTTTTCACTTCATTACTTTTGTGTTTTTCTCATTTTTCATCTGAATATATATACATAGTGCCTCTTGATAATGATGCATGGAGTCGCGAAGAACAGACGATTTCTACATAGCTTTTCAAATTAAATAAAAAAAGGGGCATCTCATTCCTTTTGTCCAGCTCTATGCGCTATGCGGGCTCTGCTCGAAGTGACCACCCAACGTTACTATCATAAAAAGTTGCCGTGTAGTTTAAGTTCATGCAGGGCGTCTTGGTGCGCTCATCATTTTAGTCTTCTAAGTCGTCGCTGGCTCCCCCTCACGGCGTTTGGGTTATCCGTTTTTCCCTTTAACTATCGCCATTCGAGGCGCTCCTATAGCAGCCCGCCCCCATCGTCCTCAAACCCTAACAGGCTCAAATCCTATACTGCTGTACCACCAGACAACACTGTAGCCTTTCCATCGTCTTTCTCGCAGGCGGGGGAGTTTGGGGATGCCCATTCCGAAGAGATTTCAGGGAATCCCCTGGCGCATTCGATGGGTTCCCACCAGGGGCCCTCGGCCGCCGGGGGAAATTCATATATCTTTCCAACTGGAAGGGCCCTTCGGATGGTTCGCCGAGGGAGGTGGCATTGCTCCCACAGAGATGCCAGTGGTGGTTTTGTGGAAGTGCTTGTCGCGCGTTGTCGCCAGTCACTTTCGACGTCAACCGACACAGGGGACTCTGGTGAGGCATCCACCACAGATTCGTTGTTTCACTCATTTCTCCTTGATGTTGAGGCGGATGAAGCGTGTACAAGTCTTTTGGAGGATGATGTGGTCAACAACGTGGATGGAGAAGACGGGAGCGATGGTGAGGCTGCTCGCATGAGGTCCTGCTGTAGGATAGAAAAAGAGGGCTTTCACACAACGTCGACTTCTGCTCGTGTGGTAGAGGAAGCATCTCGCTTCGTTGCGTATCACTGCCATCACGTACTCACAGATTTTAGATTCAATCGCAAGACATGGTTCAATCAGCACAAGAGGCAGCAGCGACAAGAACATCCTGAGCGTGGAAACCCTCCGCCGGGAACGACATTGCCGGGGTTGTCGCATTCATACAGCGCGGCGGAGCTAGGTATGTTAATGGATTACGCCTTTCAAGCGTCGGTCCTACTGCATCTGACAGGGCTTTATGAGGTAGGCGAGAAGTATTTGGAACCGCTACTAGATGTCTGTTTATCGGTTAGCATTTTCCTCTCGCAGGCCCATAACTTCAGTAGGCATAATATAGCGCAAAAGCGCAACCGAGAGAGCCGTGGTACTGGGTACGATGTGCTGTTAGACCCCTCTCTAAATCCACATTGGGATTCATTGCGTTGGGCGGTAGTTCATTATTGTGAGGCGGTGAGGTTGTGGGAGCTGCTAGATCACACGGCACCTCTCTTTAGTGTTGATCGTACTCGGGAGCCATTTGGCCGCCTTCTCCAAGCCCATGCCGGCTTGATTACACAGACGCTCGGTCCACAAGGCTTTCTACGTGAGGATTGGAACCACTTTATGCTGCTGAGAGCAGGAAGCGAAAACCAAAAGCGCTCCATGGCAATTGCGCAGTGGTTTGGTGAATTTGGGTATCGGCATGGATCTGCCCCTAATGAGGAAGGTGGCCCTGGTGTGTCATCGTCATCTCCATTTTGCTTGTTTTCTCAGCAACGTCGGCTACAGCTACTGCCGAAGTTGTGGCTTACCATGCTGGGGGCTCACATTCAACGAGGTGAGACGGCACCACAGCTACTAAACAATCATCCTAGTGATAATTGTGCGAAATTGTTAGACTCTCTTGATGGGGTGAGGAGCTATCCAGACAAACGGGAGATCAGAGACCCCGCCAAAGCGGTGACTTGGTGCGCTGCGCGGCATTCCCTCTTACATTTGCTTCCTCTTTTTTCCAGGGAGGCCAAGGCGGATGCTTCTCTGTGGGCGCTTCTTCAGTTATTTTATGTTGGATCAGACCGTTGCCGCAGCGGACGTGTGGAGCTCGCGGCGCTTTTGTCTTCCCTGGAGCGACATGGCATGATGAGGGATTTTGTGCCTTCGTCCTCGACTTACACCGTTTTAAACAACTCTTCCGGCACGAACCGTGTACGATTCTTGCTTCAGCGGTGGTTGAGGAGCCGGTCATGTTGTTCACCTGCTCCATCGCCGCAGGTGGATTTGGGGCTTTCGGAGCCCCTTATCACAACTTTGACAGGGATGTACGTCGCCTTCACCAAGCTTCCGCTCTGTGTGCTGCTGCTAACACCGGAGGAAGGCCAAAACATCCATGGGAGCAAGCCAAGTCCGAAGCCCACCGTAGTTACTAACTCGACCGCCTCAGGGTTCGATGGCTTGCACTTTCTGAACGTTCTTCTATATCGCATTCTCATTCAATGGAGGTCAAGCGGTTCTAACTCCACAGTGCGGGGCGCGGGCCTCTCAATGCTCAGCCAAAGGTTTCAAAGATTTTTTAGAGACCGCAGCGTTGTTGCCAATGACAGTGGCAACAGAGCTGTGGCGCTGTCGAAACACATTCAAATTCGTTCAGAGTGCTGTGCGGAACTCGTGTTCATGCTAAGGGCTGCGCGTTGTCTGCACAGGCTTCACCAATGTATCATACGAATGCAGCACCAGAAAACGAATTGGAGTTGGAAGCAGGCCGGAGGGTCCAGCGATGAAGGGGCGAAGGGAGGTGCTTTTGGTATGGCTGGAGCGTTGCTGCTTGTCATTGAGGCGGCTACACGCGGGTTTGCTATGCAGCTTGGTGAGGTCGTGTTCCCTCTATATCTCGCAGCATTACAAGAATCGGTCGAATCAACGCTTAGCGCTATGGAGAGGGATCTCTTGGAAGCACTACACACCATACTCACGAATATTTTAGTAAGGAGCTCTGCCAAGGATGCACAGGAGGCGGACGCCAGCGCCATATTCCGAGGGAGGGAGGGTGACATCCCAAGTACCTACTACGAGGGTATCGAGGCCCTTTTTTCACGATATACATCCTAATTATTTACTAAACCCGCTTATTCGCCTATTGATGTTCATCAATTCATCTGCCGATACATATATATATATATATATATATGTATATGCAAGTTTATCGTATCTACGTGTATGACTATCAGAGTAAATACTGGGAAAAAGACATTCAAGGGGTCTTCCTCAGTGAATCTATTTCTCTTCCTTTCTTTTCTCTCTGTTTTCAAAAAAGTAGTTTCAGAATTTACTGCACAAGGATGCCATTATCAATATTAAACGCTTGATATCGATGGACCAAGATAATATATGAGCCAGTTTGCCGACACCGCTTTATTATATTCGTTTGTTTTGTCATTTTATCAGCATATTTTTCTCGTATAGCTTTCAATAGTACATACAGCTATAAATACGTCACTTCACAAATAGATCACTCTGTAAGGTATTCTATTTGTTGCAAAAAGGAAGATAAAAACACATAAATTTGTACTCTTCCTACACATTTTACTCTTTCATTCTTAGGGAATTGTACACTTTTCGGTAATGCTCGTGTGTCAGTTTCACTGTTATACGTGCGTTTTATGCCAAAGTTTCTGAGCCATATTAACAAAAATATACCTACTTTCGCAATGGAGGTAGGTGAATTGTGTTACTATTGTGTTACGCTGAGGGTCCTGTGTTCTCGTGGATATCCCCACAAAGAAGTAAGGCTTGAACGCCCTTAGTGTATTTGAAGCTGTATCTGGAGACCAGATAAGCGTTAACAGTGTTCAGTCGGAGTGTTTCATCCGATTGGACAGCCTCGGGGGCGGCCCTGTCGAATGCCCTACCAGTACCAGTGGCCAAGCCTACATGCCTCCGCCGATAACGGGAAGGCGTGCAGGCACTTAGCTTCGCCAATTGGCTACTAGTCCGCGGCACCACGAAGAGGTGGCCGGCATATACCGCGGAGGTAGGTGAATCTTTAAAATACTCATTATCTTCTCCTACACATATACACAGCGCAATTCCAAATATGATAATGAAAAGCATGACTACAGTCGTCGAGGTGTAGGTATTCCGGGTAATTTGAGGATCAGAGTCATGACCAAATGTGTGGCTGTGGGTCGAGCTACCAGGGTGGGGTACATTATTGTGATCATAGTCCAAGTGCAATATTTTTATTTTCTTATTAATATCGTACAACTCACGGTCTTCTTCTCAATAGGATCAAAACAGTAATGATGCAGTAAGACACTCACTTTACAGGGAAAGAAGTCGTGAGACCAGGAGCGAGGGTGTGGTGAATTTGCACTTCAACATAAACTGTCTTTTTCCTCGCTCATACCAGCATCCCAAGGTTGCTCATCGGGTGCGAACCTGTCCCCCTTTCTCAAGTGAAACATCCATGCATATTTGCAGTTGTGTGCACACTAATCTGAGAATCAACGAGATAAATTAAGAGGCTAACAAAAGTAAGGGTTTAAATATGAAGTCAATGATTGAGACGCGCCACACCTCACCAAGGTTCAATGTGTCTTTAAGGTCCCTTATCTCCATGCCTCCAGTCTGGGTTGCCTCCTCCGATAAGAACATAGACATCTTGTGACAGCTTAACGTCTACTAGTCATCTTGACGGACTGGCTTCTTCAAGCTTACCATATTGCACTCTGCTTTACCATAAAGCGTCATAAAAAAAAACGAAATTAATACAGCGACAGGGTTCAACTTGACAAGGCAACACGTCGAACGAGTAGTCACAGGAGTCCTCAAAGAATCGGAGGGTTAATCTTATTTCTGTTGTAAGTGCCTCGATTTCACTCTGGCTTGTCTTTATCCTCATACTGCGTCGAAGAACTACAAGGAAGGCAGAAAGTAAAGAGGTAGCCTACTTGTCGTCACAGCATAGTCTAACTTTCAGAAACAGACTCAAGGTTTATCATTTAGTAGAAGCGATGGTGAAATGTATTTTTATATGAGTACTCACGTAGTTAAGAATGCGTGAATAAAGTTTCGAATTCAAATAGGAAAGGATTGTTGTATCGTGTGGTTATGTTTTCATTGAATGGATTTGGGTGCTTAGATAATCCAGTTTTCGACCTCATCTAGTGATTCATATCTTACATGTGCGTAGACCGGAGTTTTTTAAAAATTACATTCACCTTATTGCCCTGTAAAGCATGTTGTGTACTCCTTTCGCATTCAAGCAAAGTGAATTGAGAGGTGTATATGCATTTGAGAAGAATTTATGTGCCCCAACAATGAATAGTTTAGTAGCGAGACTATCGTCTTTGTATTCTGCTTTGGTGTTGTTTCTTCCTATTGGATGTTTTAGGTTTTTGTTTTCCTTCATCTTCTTCAACTAATTCCGTTTCCGAGTTTCTTATATTATCCATATACGCACAAATAGTCAGAATTATTCCGTTTTAACTATTTATCGATAGCAATAGCTTAATTATTGGCATCCTTAAATGACCAGCACAGAAGCCTACACTCCCACCAAGGAGGACCTGCACAATATCATCTTACTCCTACACAATAATGGCGTAGAGGTGAGGAACCCAAAGGATGCCTATGAGCAGCTTAAATCTTATGAAGGAAACCCGTTCTTCTGTATTCTCCTGGCCACAATTTTCGAGGCGGATACATGCCCGCTTCCAGATCTACAACTACCAGTCCCGTGGACCTTCTATCGGCAAATAGCCGGTATTACACTGAAGAACAACTTATCTGTAGCACAGCATACCTTAGGCGAGGGTACCATCAAAGCGGCTGGGCGTTGCGCTCTTCACACGTTATGCCACTCGCCAGATTCTAACACCGCGCGCGCCGCCGCGCAAATTGTGGTCAAGGTTACAGTGCTTTGTTCCATAGACTGGTGGAGCACAAGTGGGTTTGGCGACCTAGCAAATATCTTACTGAGAAATCTGCTTCCAGCTGGTGGGATCAAAACGTTGTCGGGGTTGTACGCCTTGCAGTACTTGATGGAGGATTTGCCTAAACAGATTGGTGAGTCGAGCAAAATGATCGTGGAGTCCGTATCGCAGCTAGCGGCAACGCCGACGGTGCCGCTTGAGTTGCGCAAAGCAGCGTTCCGTATGTGTTTCAATATTTATGAGCAGTCGTCCTCCTTAGAATGGGATGTGGATACCCTATCACCACTGCAAAGGGGTCTGGTACTAGGGAGCTGGGAATTTACTAACACATGTACATTTTTACTAGAACAAAACGCTTATGGCGACGACGCGTTGTCTATCACCGTGTTTCGCTCCTGTGCCCTTTTGTTAGATTACTTTAGCTACCTACCCCAACGTTCACCAGAGGATAAGGCGCGGATGGTGGAGTCCTGGGTGATCCGCACTCTCCATGTCATCTCAAGCGAGTTTGACAATCACGACTATGATGAACGTCGTTCAGCTGCGATTGACCTTATAACGGGTTTCTTAGAAATGTACAATGCGGCTGCCCGTGAGTGGGAAGGGGCCTTTTTGGCTACTCCCTTTCTGACAGCCAACAACCTCCGGTCGCTGGTACAGTCACTGGTGCACTTTTCTCGCATGTCTGAGGATGAGGTCGCGACTATCATGGAGTCGGACGATTATCGTGCACCGGATATGGCAGCAAAAGCCTTAAGTTCAAGCATGAGTAACAATATGGACGGTCACAAAGACCTCATCCAGGACAACTTGCTGGACGAGGGTGAGGCAGCTATGAGCTTGCGCCGCTCGGCCCTCCGTTGCATTAACGCTCTCTGCTCCTTTTCGAGCACGGACACTTTTACTGTTATGATAGAGCATATTAAAGAGCTCTGGGGAAGGTCTGCGTGGCAGGAAAGGGAAGCTGGCATTGTGCTGCTTGGGACCATTGCCTCGGGCTGCGCCGTGCAGTTGAGCGACGGTCTGGACGCCATCATTGATCAGCTTGCTCACTTCATTAGGAATGTCAACGAGCATGTCTGCGTTTCGAGTATTGCCGTCTGGACCTTTTCTCGGCTGATTGAAGCGATTGTGACGGGCGCCCCTTATCTCCTTGACCTTGGCATCGCCGCCATCATCAGCCGTTTGCAAAGCACCAGCAGGAGGGTCCAGTTCTCTAGCGTCTCCGCTGTTAAAAACATATACATAGAGCTCCAAAACTTTGGTATAAGTGACAAGATGTATGCACACATGGGGGAGCTAGTGCTGGCACTGCATGCCTGTCTTACAGTATATACTTCGACAAATTTAACGGTACTAATAGACATCTGCATTTTAGTTATGCAAGACCTCAGCGATGCGGCTGATTTTTCGCAGTTAGATCAGATTGGCTCTGCTTTTAAGCATGAATCTGGCGTACGAGGTGTACTTTTTCAGGAAACGTATACTAGCTACTACATCAATTCAGTCCCGAACGTGCTCGTAAACAAGGACGTCTTCTCCTTGCATCGAGGCATTATCCATTTTCTATCACTTCGTCCAGATCCCATTCTCGCGCTTGACAACCTAAAGCTATGGTGCAACCTGCTCAGCGATATTGTGGCGCGGAACATCAATGACGACGCAGACATCGTCTACGGCACTATCAGCCTATGTTGCGGGTACTTGAGTCTAGTTCCAACATCTCTTCTGCAGCAGTGGGCTGCCGCCAACTCAAACGTACTGACCATGCCTGTCCTGAATTTGCTGCACCAAAAGACGAGTTGGCTAGTTCAGGCGGCGGCGGCATCCCTTCTGGAGTTGTTGGTCCGAGTTCTAGGGAGGCTCGCGATACCGGTGGAAACTGTGGAGCCTCTTCTCACGTTTATCACCAAACTCGCTGTCGACGAGGAGAGTACACCGCTCCGGGTGCAATTCCTGAAGCTGGCCGCTCAACTCCTGACATCTTTCAAGGAGTCACTAGATACTCGCTTTATTACCTCCGTCCTATACTCGTTCAATCATCAAGTCTTACGTAGCGACGCCTTTGGAGATACGCAGTATCTCTACGTTCAAATGGCCTACGTCATTTGCAAGTTATTCGATTCCTTTTCATCCCTTGCTGAGAGTTTCAGTGTTGACACACTCTGTGCGCTGATGGCACAGGCTCCTCACACCCTCGAGAAGTCTGAGGCGACTGTTCACCTCTGCAAGGCTGTGAGGGCAACCCCTCCTGCTGTGGCGGTGGGCTACGTTCGGGGGATGCTGGACTTCCTCTTTTGTTATCAAGAGTTCCTTTCAGAGTATCAGGATGCGGAAGCTGAAGCGGCAGCGCTGCTCGTTTATTTCGAAAGCAGTTGCAGGGAGGAGCTGAGGAGGTGCATGGCTCTTTATCCAAGGGGACATTGTCCTCCACTTTTTGCCGCTTATGCGTGAGGTGCAGAGGAGGTGGTGAATCACGTGAATAGAGCTGTAGTAGGTGTAGTGGAGAGAATAATGTCTCTGCGTGCACGGCTCACAGAAGGGTCAACTTGTGGTATTTAGGAAGTATTATCATGAAGGTTTCTCAGTTGCCACCTCCTGTTCTTTTGCCTCTCCCACGTGCTAAATCATTGTGTCGATTGTAATTGTTTCTACAACACTAATCTATATTCAGATTCCTATTATGATTCATTTTTTTTTCTTTTTAGCACTGACTCATGCACAACCTGTATGTGTGGGTGTTGATGTTGAGTATTTTCTATCAAATAAGATCCAGATATTGATATTAATAATTGGTGTGCTGAGTGCAGAGCCTTCTGTTAGGTACCCTGTCAAGCGCGCAAGCTAAAGAGAGAGTTGATTCAGAGTAAACGTATATGCTAATGCAAATAAATAAATGAAGCCGTGTATTGCTCTTATATCTTGATTTTTTCTCATTGTTTCTTTACTAGAGAGATACAGAAGAGGAAAGTCTTGCTTGGTAGCATTCATACTCAGCGCCATTTCCTTCAAACTTTTTTTTTGTGTGGAGACTCGTGTAGTCTCAGATCTCGAGTGAATATCATAACTTATGATCCATCGGAAGGATGACCCTGCGCTTCGGATTCAACCGGCAGATTGCTCTTCGAAGGAGGGAAGGCAACACACACCAACCGTCGACAAGCTACAAGTGCCTCACGCCCGCATAACTCGGTATCCTATACTTACGCCGGCGCAGTTGGACGGCACTTCTTTTTCGCTACACGAATCGATCCAGTTTTCAAAGCCCCCGACCAAATCACGCGAAACCACGGAACGCGATGCTAGCCATTCGAGCTTGCCGGGAAATCATGCCTTCCCAGTTGAGGCCAATATGCGGCTGTACTCTTTTATCTCAACTCTTGAATGCCCCGAGGCTCCAGCATCACTTCAGATGCAGCTTCCGGAGTATTACCTACAACAACCAAGAGGTTCTGTATCAGGAAGACCGCCGAAGGAAAGGTCGACCGGGGGAATAGAAGGAATAGGTGAGGATGAAGATGACACCGGCATCGAGGATGATGAATGGGTGACCACTGCGTTTGCCACAGCTGGGGCAGCCACCTCCCGGCTTCGATCAAAGCACAGGAGTCGTAACCAGGCTCGTGAACCCACTCGCTGTATGTACTCCGCCACGGGTTCTGACCCAAGCAACGAGGGCTCCATCAAAGAGAAGTTCCCGGCACCTGCGGCCACGCTTCAGTTAAGCTCCGTGCCACTTTTGGAGTACGAACAACACACGTGTGTCATCTTAAAACCCCTGGCGGGGGCCCCGTCCGCTCTCACTGCCTTAGTCCTTGAGAGACCCCTTATGGAGCTCCGCTGTGACCGGGTGGAGTCCCTGGCCGCCCGTGGGGAGGGTGGCCAGGGGATCTCCTCCGCTTGGCTGTCGTTGCCTAACACGCGTTTTAACAAACGCGAGTGGAAGTCGATGGATTCAATGGACATGGAGGAGGCGAAGGCCAGTGGAAGTCGCTGGCAGATGGATGAGGCGCCGGACGACGACCGTGATGTTATGGAGGTCGAGAAGCGGCGTCTCAAAAAGGTGCGCACGGAGGCCTTGCAGGGATGGAGCGCCACAGCGACGCATGATGCTGCGGCGGATCTGGAGGATCGCTGGTCTTTACTCAATCGGCACCGCGATCCCCACAGGAATAGCTTTGTAGCTCCACCTAAAGTACCGCAGTCGGTCCTTGCCTCGAAGGATAGCAATGACGAAACTAGCATGCCAACACCTAAGCAGTCTCCCGCAGCAATCCGCTTTATTCAGAAGACGTGGTCCCTCAAGGGATTGCCGCATAGTGGGCAGAAAAATCAAACTACATCGACGGTTACATCATCTACTCCAAGCACGAAGCCTGGTGTTGGTGCGCTGCCACAACCGAGTAAGTCATCGGCCTCTCCGATACCAACTGCTGCCCAATCCCAGTCGACATTGAAAATGAGCTACGATAGTCATGAAAACAGCAACGAGCTCGATGAGTTGGCCGAGCAAGCGCATCACATAATTACTCAACTTTTGGGCACAGAGGGTCGCACCGTAGTTCCACTAAAGGAATTGGAGAAGCTCATCCTAAAACGACTCCATAGCTATGCGGGTGCAGCTGAGAAGGCCAAAAGTAGTGCCACGAAGGCAGAGGCGGTGCGATGGTTTGCTCGGGCTCAGGCCGCACTCAGACAGTGGCTCAGGACGGAAAACTACGTTTTAGATCCTGGTGGCAATGTGACTCTATCAGGTGGAAAGTAATTTTAAGTGGAAACTTGTCAATTTTCATCGGATTCTGGAATAAAAATGGGACAGGAGAAGAGGAGTCAGGTTCGTATAAAAAAAAGGGAGCCAAGGATAGGAGTGGGTGTGACCTGAAATTAGCACTAAATATCGTTGAATGTGCAAATTTATACTAAATTACAAGCACGAATTTTAAAGTATGTCTTTTCTTGATATGGCTAAATTCGTTTTGCTTTCATATTTTCAGGAGGAGCGACACTGTGAGTCCAGAAAAGTTTTGGTTTATCTCTTCCATTTTTTTCTACCACAGTAGGTTCCTTTGCCGCCCTCAAAATCAAAAACCACAGACAACGTCATTAAAGAGAAAGGAACAGGGTATTTGCTTGCTCTGGGTTTTGCTCAGAGGCGTAGATAAAGGGGAGGAAGGGAATACATATATTTGTATATATTATTGCAGTGAAGGTATATTGCACGAACTTTGACATTCGCAGGCGCCAGTTTTCTATCATAGCTTAGTACAAAAAAGTTCCAGTATTTAACCACTTACACAGTGACTACCACACGGGGGAAAATTTTTGCTGTTCTTCACCGTTATTTTCGAACGGTGAAGTAGATCATAGACAATTTCTTCTATACAATCTAATGGACCAAGATGATGTTAGTAAGAAACAAAAACCCTCCTCACGCGACGCAGTGGGTGCGAGTTCCTCTTCTTGCTACAACATTGACATCACTGAGAGACTTGAGACTAACAAGCAGCAAAATTTGGTATTTGTGGACACTTCAATAAACACTCTTAATCGTGAAGAATGCGAAGCCGCTTCGGATCGAGAGATGTTTTCTATGAGTGCTCCTCGTACGAGTGTTCACAGACATTGGCCGGGTCTCCACCCGCCGCCATCATCAGAATCATTCGCCAAGTCTGCGGCGGTGAAATCTGTACCTATTGCGTATCCGCAATCCAACCACAACGATGAGCGTGAGGCGGATGGTTTGGTGGAAGTACGCGTCGTACGTAATGGCACCATAACGACAGAGGCGGTGGATCCGTACCGGTTAGCACGGCTCTATGCCCAGAGGCAGGCCGCGTTGGAGCGCGTGCGAGGGAAATACACCTCTTTAGAGGTTCCGGAGTGGGTGAGACTGCATCCGCGTTTGGGAACTTACCTAGCTGAGTCTTTGGGGACCTTTGCGTGTACATTAACCATTTCGCTCGCGGCCGCTTCCAACAAGTCTATCTTTTCCATGTCAGACGACTCTAGCATCATGTGTCTACCGACAGGCTTCATATTTATGAGCATGATATCGGCATTTTCCTACATATCAGGGGGACACTTCAACCCCGCCCTATCCATCGCCATCGCGCTCGTTCAGAAGCTGAAGCTCGCGCACTGCGTCGGGTACATCATCTGCCAAGTCGCCGCCGCGTTTGGGGCTGGTGTGGTGGCGATGTTGATCCAAGGCAACATGGACATCTACGTCCCTAAGGTCATCGAATCGTTGGTGCTGAAGGGCTTTCTATTGGAGATGACCTACACGTTTATCATCGTGTTTGTGATGCTTCACACCGGCTATGGACAACGCCCTGGTCAGCCTCTGGCGGGGCTGGCGACGGGGATGGTGATGCTTGCGAGCGTCGCGGCGATGGGGTCGATATCAAATGGGGTGTTCAACCCCGCGGTGGCGACGGGCCTCCAGGTCGCGACCTGTCTTGCCGGGAGATGTGATAGCCTGGGGAGCTTTTGGGTGCATTGGGTGGCGCCGGTTTCGGGCGCCGCCCTGGCCGCCCTCATCTTCTCTCAAATGAGGCAGCCAACAGAGGATGACGAGGATTTCGGTTCGTAGTCGATTCCAATACGTTGTGTGCGAGGGAAAGGAGGGGAAGGGGGAATGCGTTCGTTGATTTCAGGAGTCATTGCTAGAAGATATGGCGTAAGCTGAGAGGGGGAGGGGGGGAAAGCGGCGTGTACGAATTTTGAGACGATTAAGCATGTTTTCTTCAAGGGGCTCTAATTACGAACTCGCCTCGAGTGAGCAAAGTTCAGCTGGAGAACTTGAACCTACGAGAAAGGGTTTGTTAATATTTAAATTGTCTAATTATATTCCAAGATAACACAAGTATTCTTTCCTTTCATCCTCACAATAATTTTTACGGTCTGGAATGCTGAGGAGACGTACTCTGGATTGTTTCTGAGTACTTTTTTTTTGGTACATACGTGCGTGCATGCGTATTTCCTCTGCGCGATAGCATCAAAATAAACCGATATCTTTTATTTCTAGAGTGGTATAAAATATCATTTATGACAGTTGCTATTATTATTAGTTCTATTATTTTGGTTAGCTGCATCTATTAGCGCCCTTTTATCTTATTCTATCGTTTCTGAGCAACATAAGAGACTGTGGCTATACAAGCAAATAAGACAAGTTACCATAAAAGTAAGTTGCAAATTAGTAAAAGATGAACGCGGAAATATTTGCGATCAATGATGTCAGACCACTTCTTGCGCGCAAAGTTCCCCTACCTCGTCTATCTAAATATCAAACGAGGTACATATGCGAAGGGATCGGCACGTTTATTTTCCTGCTGACTATCGTTTTGGCGGAGATGAACTGTGGCGTTTCTGCCATTGACAATGTCCATCACACCCGAAACTTGGCTCCAATTGCCGAAGGTTTGGTTTTAAGTGCGCTTATATTTACCTTTGGTCATATATCGGGTGGACACTTCAATCCTGCAGTGTCGTTTTCTGCTTTAATATTGGGTGAAATGCGTATCGAGGAGACCGTCGCGTTCTGGAGTGCCCAGGTTATTGGGGCTATTCTGGGTGCCAGTTGTGGTGTGATTATCTCCGGTAAAACACATCCTTTACCTGCTCCACAGATTTATCGTAGCACGCCCGAGTATGTGTTGATGGCTCTTATTTTGGAAAGTATTTTTACTTGCTTTCTAGTTACAGTCGTGCTGCATATTGCGCATTCACAAGGTAACAGTGATTATTATTACGGTTTGACCGTTGGGATGTGCTTGATGGCGCTGCATTATGCCGTAGGTGGGGTATCAAAAGGTGCCTTTAACCCCGCGGTCGCGACGGCACTCCAATTTATCAAGTTCATCGCGGCTGGCTATGCCGCACCGCTGATGTTTCTGTGGATCTACTGGACGGGACCGGTGCTAGGCGCCGTAGGAGCGACGATTTTGTTTAAGATGACTCACCCAATTCCCAAGAAAAGTGAGGAAGCCATGCAGGAAGAGAAAACTGCCAGAAACTTGTACAATTGAGCGATGTATCTCTGCTTCATCGTCAAGGAAAAGCGGAATAGATCTGTTACTTTTGTTGGGGTTGTTTTTTTCGCATTTCAAGGACTTCCTTGATTGAGTGGTGTGAACAAGAAAGAAAATATCCGATCGATTAATGGCACTTCTATAGTGGATTTCAACGTCAATATTTTTCCTTCAGCACATGTTCACACAAAACAAACGTATAATAGTAGTAGTAGTAGATGCCCTCCAGGCACATGGTGGATAGTGATGGCCTCGAAATATTCAGTGATGGACGCCCGCCTACACCATTACCCACCCGCAGGGATACCGAGTTGACGAACCTGCAGAGGATTGATATTCCCTCTTTATTCTTCTCCCGCGGGGATCTTTTACCGTCATTTGACCCCTTCACCGACCTTTCAGTCTCTCGTAAGTACTTCTGCAGATGGGAAAAAAACAGCAGCACGGGCGAAAGGGCCTCGGCACGCCCCAGTGATTCAGCTTCCGAAACATACAAGCAGACAAGTGGGCTGTCTCTTTTCTTCCATGGGATCGCCGCGGGCGAGGATATGAGCACGCTGATCCACATCTTAACTCAGACTCTGCAAAGGGCCGGTCAAACCGTTAACTGGCCGACCTCACCACTGCTAGATCGCGCCTGTACCGAAAAGAAAGAAAATGCCGATGCAAACCCAGCGAAGTTTTTGGATAGCGCTCCGCCAAATGAGGACACGGTCGCGCCCCAGTCGAAGTCGCCTTTTTTCAACGCATCCCTTTCGGTTTCGTCGGCGTCACCGATGAGCGCCTTAATCTCGCAGCGGGAATGGATCAAGCAAGCGAGTCGAGCCGCGGCGCTCTTTTCGGTGGAAAGCCCCGCTGCGTCGGACGCGGTGTCGCTTCTGTATTATTCCTCATGCCACACCGAGCGGTTGAGGTTGAAAGGGGCGATGAAAGGCGCGGGGAATGGGAGGACGGCGTCCGATCTTTTTTTTTTTCGACCCCTTAACAAGGTGTTACGGCCGCTGTTGAGCGATCGGGTGGCGGTGGCGCTCGCCCGGCAGCTGTTTCGTGATAGCCATCCCAGCGCGAAGCACGGCCGGCTCGAGGAGGTTGAGCGGGTGTTAGGGCAGATCGACCCCACCCCTGCCGTGTGTGCGGTTTTGATCGACCTTTACAGCCGCACCGGGCGGTGGGAAGGGGCCCTGCGCAGCCTACGCGGTATCCCGCAAAGCCTCTGGACGGAATTCGACGTGACGGGCGTGATTCGATCTTTTTACCGCGCCGCACGGAGAAATGAACTCCCCTCGTCATCAACGACCCTTCTTGAAGGACTTCATTCATCCCTCTCAGGGCGTGCGGAAGGGGAAGAGGAAAGGGAGGGGAAGGAGGCAGGACCCGAGACCGACTTCTTTACCTACCCTCTCCTCCTCATGAAGCAGGCGATGGAAGGTAAGGTCTCCTGGAGCACCCCATCTGCGATCAATGACGCCCTCGGGCTGCTCTCCCTGCGACCGCATCTTTGGCGGCAGGCCTGTGCGTTGCTGGATGCGACCGTGCTCTCGCCGCACTGTGCAGGGGAGCCTCCCGTTTGCGAAAGGGGAGAGGATGGCAGGGCGGAAGCGCTTCATTGCGAGTCCGATGGAAGCGTGGAGGAAGCGGAAGAAGTGGAAGGGACCTCTCTAAACCACGCCCTCGTCCGCGAGTCCAGTCTTCGCCACATGCGCCCCAATCCCGTGACGGTCTATCAAACCTGCCAGGCGCTTTCCCAGGCCCCGGAGGTGGCCTTTTCCTACGCCACGGCGCTTTTGGATCGCTTTGAGATCCCCCTCACCCGCGATTTCGGGGCGACGGAGCAGTATTTGTGCTGCTGCGCTCATGCCGGGCGCTGGCAGGAGGCCCTGCGGGTGATGAAGGAACATCAGTTGCAGCTTGAGAAGGAGCGTAATCGGCATCACGCCATGGGGCGGCGCGGGATGGCGCGGGAGGCGTCTTCGGCAGGAGGCAACACCGCCGACAGAACGCGTTCCAGCGGCGATAAGTCTTCCAATTTCCACGAACGGTTTGCGCACTACCGCCCGGATGTGTACCTTGCGTTGGTAAAGCTGTTTGGCGAGTCGCGCTGCAGCGACGGGGTGAACTCGCTTGTTCAACAAAGGTCCCTCTCAAAGTTTTACAACCCACAAACACTTTCACGCGCCTTCAACGCCCTAATCCAGAGCTCGAAAACCATTGACGAGGCGATGCGTCACTACGACGAGCTGAAACGCGTTTCACGTCGAAGGTCCGGGAAAGGGGCCCCAGCGAAGGCGAACACCATAAGTGCTGCGTCTGCCGAGCCACAGCAGCAGCCGGTGCGGTCTGAAGCGTTTGGAGCTTCTACCAATCATGAGATGTTTGAGATGTTGGAAAATGAATCTCTTCATCAATTGACGATATTAAACGCTATGGAAGGACGCTGGCAGGAGGCGGTGACTATTTTTCAGCACCTTTTGCACGATCCACGCCGAAAACTATATGTGCCCACGACGGAGGTTCATGATTGTATACAGTATGCCCTCGCACAAGCACCTGCGCCAGGTGCGTCTTGGCAACTGTCCGTAGCGCTCTTCTATGAGTTGTGTGAGGAGCGTCAGCTGCCGACTTCCCCATTAGCGTTTCAGTCTGCGGTTAGGAAGTGTTTTTCGCAGGACGCTGGTGAGGTAGCTCAGAAGCTGTTCAAATTTATGATTCGAAAAGGTGTACGACGTTGAGCAAGGAAGCTGATTCTCACGTACTTTAGGAAAGGCAATTTCTTTTCTGCATAAGGAGACGAGGGAAGAGGTCGCAAAAGTCCAATCCTCACCGCGAGCCTAGATATCGATAGCTTCCTGACTTTTATCTTATGTGTACTTACCTTTTCCCTTATCTCTCATGGTTTCAAAGATGTTCCCCAATTTAGCGGGGCATCTATTATGAGTTCTTTACCTGATGAACTTAAATTTGACCATAGATGGTGCTGACTACGAAGTTTTTGATTTCCAGGATTATTCTTCAAGATATGCGAGGAATCTTCTTTTTTCTCCCACCTTGAGTATATAAGATTGATTTAGGGTACCCGTATTGATAGATTTATCTGTTTAGATTTAAAGCCGTGTGGGTGGGCTTCTTGAACATTAACGTGTGGAGCACTCAAGGAACGATACCGTTCACCACTGCATTAAGGATTCATTAGTTTTCCACCACTATTCGAAATGATCAACTTTGGGGCGCCAGCTAGCGGTGGGAATGTGCCCTCGGCCCCTACCGCGCCTTCCTTTGGGGGCGCCCCCGCCAACCCCCCCCCTGCAGGCACCGGCGTGAACCCGACGAACGCACCTCCGATTACTTCCTGGGGGGCGGGATTCGCCACCACCCCGTTACCTGCATCCGTACCTGCAGCAACGGCAACAGCAGCCTCACCGTTTGGTGGGGTCTCCGGCCTGGCAACGGCCTCCCCTGCCGCGGGTGGGACGACGGCGAGTGCAACTAACGCCCCCTTTGGCAGCATCCCCCCTGCCCCTGCCCCGACCCCCACCCCTCCTTCAACGGCGGGGGGCAAAGGTGGCTTTTGCTTTACGGCCGACCCCGCCAAACCTGCCGGCCCTTCCAACCCCGCTCCTGGGGGGTTTGGCTTCGGCCAGGCCGCCCCTCCCGCTTCCACCTCCACGGCTCCGTCTCCTTCCCCTGCCACGGCCGCGCCGATGGGGTCGGGAACCCCTTTCGCGGCCCCCATCGCCGCGGCGACGATCTCCTTCGGCGCCCTTCCTTCCACAGGGGCGGCCCCGGCCTCGACAGCAGCTCCAGCCTCGACAGCAGCTCCAGCCTCGACGGCTGCTTCCACCCTCTTTCCTACAGGGGCGGCTCCAACTTCTACAGAGGGGTCAGCCCCTCCCCTTGCGAACGGCGCGACGTCTTCCACGACGCCGGCGATCTCCTTCGGCGCGCCCCCTTCCACAGGGGCGGCTCCAACCTCGGCAGCAGCCCCAACCCCCTCTCCGCTTCCGGGGTCGCCAAATGAGGGGAAACCCGACGCCACCGACTTCACTGGGAAGCCGCTCTCCAAAATCCTTGGCGCGTTCGACAAGCACTTCTACCACGCCCAGAAGGACTTCACGGAGCTGGCGAAGCACGTCGTCCTCCGCGATCGCCACCTACTGGAGCGGAAGCTGGACCTGCTTTCGATTTCACACACCATCAAGGGCGCCCTCTCAGCCGTCCACGCCACCAAGTCGACCCTCCGAGAGTGTGGGGAGAAGCAAAAGGCGATGGATCGTCTCCTCCAGACGATGGAGGAGGCGGTGGAGCCGGCTTTTCAACGCGTTGAGGCGGCCTCGGTGCTTTCCCCCACAGGGGAAGGTTCGAGTTCGGCTTCAGGGGTGCTACAAAGTGCGGATATCACCCGCTACCTCGCCTTCCAACACGCGATTGCCGTCTATGATGAGATGATGGGGCTCCAGAGCAAGCTGGAGGGGGCGGTGGGGCGGCATCGTCAGGACTTCGAGGAAACACGCGGGCAGGGTGAGGTAAGTCGGGTGATGGGGCTGGTGGCCGGGCAGCTGTCCGCGTTGGATTCCTGTAGTGAGCTCGCGGCGGCGTTGGAGACGGAGCTTGAAAAACTTCTGGGGTCCTCCTAAGGGTATATCAAAATGAGGAACTGGTACGAGCGCTTACACATAGATACAATGAATTGAAATCGGGGCACGAGGTAAGGTGAACTCGAGCTACGGGGCACGAGCATTGCTTAGCATTAGGTGAGTAGTGCGGACCTTTTTCTGAAAGAGCGTGCAGAAAGTCCTTAGAGAGTGTCTGCTGTAAATTTTACGGTTTGAGTATAATACTAAGGGGGTGATTGCGATAGACTAATAAAGCTAAAGAGATTGTATAAGTTGGTAGAAGGGGGAAAAAGACAAGGGTGTAAAAGTCCCTGGTTTCAGAAGAAAAGTAAAATCTGAAAAGCTCATTGAAGTATGTACGAGTAGAATGTGATCTCTAGCTTGATTTACTTAGCCGCATCCGCCCTTTACTTCGTTCCTGTGTGAGGGCAGGAATTAATTAATGACGAAAGCATATAGTGCTTCATTACAGAGGCTGGTTATTGTCTTAAATATTGTTATATTCACACCTTTGACGTTTATTCTGTTTTCTTCTTTTTTTCTCTTCTGCCTAAAAAGTTCCATCTGCGCAACGGCAGAGAATAGTTGCGGTGCTCGTCAGCTGGGGCTTCAAGAGGAGGTAGGAAAAAGTGGAGGAAGCTCGAAGAAGAAAGTGTGATATGAAAAACCGAAAGAGAACAACTGTCGATTCCACGCCGAGCGAGGGTTTACGACCCCCCAAAATCGATACGGAACCACGTACACATGATTTTCCTTCCACCGCAGGCCCTTTAAGCCGTTCCAATCCACAACCATCGTCTTTAGCGCCTTCGAAAGGTGCTCTTGGAAAACGACAGCGCGGTGATCAGCATTATATCGTATGTGCTTGCCTTGCAGGGGCCTGCGGTGCTCTCTCAGGCGTGGTTGGTAAACTCGCCGTGACCTCCACCAACGCCCCGGCGCTTGCGGATTACACACTCAAAACGCTCGAATTTTATAACGCGTATTTACCTATTTCGGGTGTTTCCTCAACGATTCGGTCGGAACGGATGGTATCCGTGCTGTCTTGGCTGCTGCGTAGTGTGTTTTTCATCGCCAACGCCTTCTTCACAGGGCAGATGTGGCGCTATTACCTAAAGGCGCTCTCGGCGGGCTCCACACCGGTATGCCAAATTCTCAATACAGGCACGAATTTCGCGGTGAGTGCTTTTATAGGGATTTTATTTTTTCTAGAGGAAGTGAATGTAATGTGGGTATGCGGGGCACTGATGGTGCTTGCTGGGCTCGCACTCATTGTCATGGATCCTCGAGCCTCTCCATCGCAATAGCTTCACATAATTGGCAGTGAAGGAGTAGACATTAGGTGAGGGTGATTGAGCTTCAAAGACGAATGTCAGGTGTTGCTTGTTCTAAAAGCGGAAATCACTAAGGATTAGCGAGTTCATTCTCGGAGTGTTCTGTTGTTAGGTGAATTGTCTTTACTATTCTTGATATCATTTGTACACATGTTTTACAAGCAGATAATAGTGATTGAACGTAACATAGCTTCTATACTCAATAGATTTCATTTAAAGAGCCCATATACCTCGTGGTATCTTGCTATCGTAACCTTTTATTCACTCACTCATGCCTTCGAGAGCTAATGAAGTCGGCCTTCAGCCACGTAGTATCCGATACGAATGGGGAGGGCCGATTGGTGCATTTTTTATGGTTTTCTTCCTTCCCATTCTGGTGCTCGCTCTCAATTCCTTGTGCGGTAAAACTTCATGTTCCCTAATCGAGCAGCTTTCCGACGTACCCGAACTGGTGCTTAACACACTCCACTCTGCTCGCGAGAACCTTCTGGAGGCTTTAATTATCGAAGTTTTTTGGATATGTCTTCATGCTGTGTTTTATTTGTGCCCGATCGGACGCATGGTTGAAGGCATGCCGCTGCGGAATGGTAAAGCACTTTCCTACCGGATCAATGCGATTCAAGTCTTCATTCTTTGCCACGTCGTCTTGATCGGTCTGGCTGTGGCCGGCATCATTAACTTGGCCTACCTTACTGACATCTTTCCATCTCTAATGCTAGCCAGCATTCTCATTTCGACTGTCATGTCTGTTATTCTGTACGGGATGAGTTTTCGAAGTTCAACGGTGCTAACCGCCCTCGGTGGGAACTCAGGAAATCCTATTTACGACTTTTGGATGGGACGTGAACTAAATCCGCGGAGTGGTTTTCTGGATTGGAAGTTTATGTGTGAGTTACGACCTGGTTTAATCGGTTGGAGCATCTTAAACTGGTCTCACGTTCTCAAATCCGTTCAGCTCGGTACCCTGACACCTGGTATCGTCCTGATTGCCTTATTCGAGAGCCTCTACGTGGTGGATGGCCTACTAATGGAAGCAGGCAACTTGACAATGATGGATATCGTCTCCGATGGGTTCGGGTTTATGCTTTGCTTTGGGGATTTGACCTGGGTACCATTCATCTACACCTTGAAAACGAAGTACTTGCTTTACCACCCGGTGAGCCTAACTCCTGGGTACACGGCACTGTGTGTAGTGCTTGTGGTCGTTGGTTACACTATCTTCCGCGGCGCGAATACGCAGAAAGATCGCTTTCGCAACAACCCCAGTGATCCCCGCGTGCGGTGTTTACGTACCATGCGAACTTCCAAGGGGAAGTCCCTTATTATCTCAGGGTATTGGGGTGTATGCCGACACCCGAACTACGTTGGAGACTGGCTGATGACCCTAGGATTGGCTGCCCTCTGCGGCGTGCAAGACCTCCTCCCTTATTTTCATCCTATTTACTTTGCCTTCTTATTAATACACCGTCAGCTGAGGGACGAGGAGCAGATGATGGAGAAATACGGTAAAAAAGACTGGGATGATTTTTGTGAGTTGGTGCCATGTCGACTGATCCCAGGGGTGTACTAAATGGACTTGTGGATATGAAGGGATGGTACGCATGGATCGAATTATCGATTTTTTAGTTTTATTTGGTGAATACATTTGTGATACCTCTTCTTTCCCCAGGTGTTGGATGTGCGAGTCCTCAAATGGCATGTGATCCTTCCGAGGGGAGGGAAGTCGTATTGACAGCAGCACCAAAAAATGGCCGTGAAGCCACCGAGGATAGCTCGTGTAATGCACATAGTAAGGGTCGTTCTTATACGCTTTGTGTATGCTATGCTCATCGATACAGGAGTTAATGAAAGACATGCTGCCCTTTCCATGGATATTAGTAGCTCATCTGTAGACGAAAAAAAACGTCGACCGCGGTGTTGGCAGTTTCAACTTTCACAAACAATCATCGCGCGACTAAAAAGATCCATATGAAAGAGTGAAAATTGTGGCTATCGGGAGGATGTCTGAGTTAGTTCTTTACATCTTTTTGGCAACCAGGTTCAAGGGACTACAATCCCTCATGGGATCCTGTTACCATACTGTGGACCACAAAAAACAGCTACACAGGATGGCTGAAATTTTCTCTTGGCTTTTGTGTCTTCGTGCTAGTTGGCAGCATCCAATATCCTGAATATTGATGTGTTTAATCCATATATACAGTTTTTTTTAATAGATTTTTTTTTTGTTATGACATTTTATTCTGATGCCAATTTTAAAAAAGAACTTGACAACAATAATTACTTTCTTATTACATATTGTACGCAGGATGCGAATGGTTTAGTATAGATTCAGTAAATGAATATATACTTTATGGAATTTCACTCACTCTAATTCATTTTCATTGCTTTTCTTGTAGCGTTTTCATATTCATTTGAAGCTTGGAAAACGCATTGTTCAAAGCTTATATATTTTCATGACCTTTATTTCTAAAATACACAGTTACTTATTAGATTTGTTTTCATTACCCTAGGGTCTTTATCTAATCGGAGGACTCAGGATAAGGCAAACTAGACTTCCTTTAGTAGAATCATCTATCAAAATGTGCAATACGGTCAGAGCGCGTTTTACTCCTCGTAGAAGTCGCTCTGCTCCGAATCTATTGACATATTCTCTAGAAAGATTCCCCAAGAGCCAGTCCTCAGATACAGAAACGGAGGTTTACTCATGTAGAACTATAATAGTTAATCCAAGGAATAGACATGGTTTGTTAGCGAATAGCCGTCCTTTGACACCAGTGGAAGCGGGGAATCGTTTGCTTGGTCGATCAGCTATTAGTTCTCATGAAAATCGGCATAGGAACGATGAAATGGATAATTTTGTTTTGTGGAGTAAACCAGAACTTCAAGTAAGGTTTAGAGATTGGTACACCTACAATTTCTGTAATCTTTCAAGCGTACAAACTCTATCCAGGATTCAAACTATATGCCGCCCTCTTGAGCCTGTTGTAACTTATTATTTCAAATTCTGGAGCATCAGTGGTGAGGCGGAGTTCTACGTCGTTTCTATACCAACTTTTGTATGGATAGGATTCCCTCAAGGGGCCTTGGAGCTCGCTTCCATGCTCTGTGTAACACAATACGCAACAGGAACGCTCAAGGACCTCTGCTGTTGCCCGCGCCCACCATGTCCACCCTTGAATATGCGTGGAAGGCGTAAGACGCACAGCACGGAGTATGGCTTCCCTAGCACACACTCCAGTAATAGTATTATCTTTAGTTACTTTATTTTTCGGCAATTAAACCATTTTATGCCAATATATCGATATTTATGGTTATTAGTAGCCATCTTCTTCTCCGTAAATGTAAGCTATTCAAGGCTTTATTTGGGTATGCATTGGTTTGGAGACGTCATAGGGGGATGGCTCGTCGCGGTTATCTGTGTTCTGCACCATTCCATTTACTTGAATAACCTTGAATTTCGGTTAGTGAATATAACCAATCCTCCTTGGTGGTGCTACATCTTGGTATATGTAGTGCTCCACATCCTCGTCATTATTCACGCGACTCCGCACGACCCCTGCCCATGCTATCTCGATAGCTTGCGCTTTTTAGGTGTGACAGTTGGCTCCCTTTACGGGTTTTGGATTTTCAAATCCATGTACGGCACCCTTGCAGCCCGGACATTGCCGAGTAACATTTTACGTTTATTCGTGTCCTATCGATTCTGGTTAGAGTGGGCTTTGTGTGTGATGATGGCTGTGATTGCAAAGGAGTTGTCCGCCCTTTTAGGGACCATAGTTCTTAAGAGAATATTTAAATTTATGTCTGGTGCCTACGCTGGCGCATTCCCACCGCGTGTGCGCCGCGTTTATCTCATTTTTGCACGTGGAATAGGCTATACGACGCGCGGCCACGTACGTGGGTCCAGTCCTACTACCCCACCTGATCGTGATGCAATGGGCTCTATGGATGAATTTCAGACCGCAAATGCGTACAGCGAGGCTTCCCCGTCCGCTGAAATAAGACAAAATGAGGACGGTGTTGGTGATCGGACCCCCACTTCCCCCCATACTAATGAAGCTCACACCACCAATGTGGTGGTAGCTCCCATTGCACAGCAGCAACAGGACGTTGAAAATACTGAGAGTCCTACGCAAGCGGAGCGTCCCACACTTGACGAAATTGAGGGATACCTCAACAAATACCAGGTGTGGTCCCTGCGCACTCACAAGCACTGGTGGCTTTGGGAGGCTCATAAATATACCTTTTCATATGCTATCATGGGGTTTATGGTGGTGTGTATTTCTCAAGTATTTCTTAGAAAAGTATTCAAGGTTAAGTAGATGTATACAGGACATCTCAAAACAATTGGGGTAATTAAATAAGCGATGAAAAATTTCAAAAAATATTGATTTAAAGTCGTACTCGCTGTCCGTCATTTCTTTCTGAGTATACTTATGCATATATGCATCAAAATAAAATAATTGTATCAATAATGTTTTGTGCTGGAGTTTGAAATTTACTTGAGTATATGCTTAGATCAAGTTCCCATAAAGCAGTGTGTAAGAGAAGGGCCTATGATTTAACCTTAAATCATGCCCAAACATTCATTTGTTTTGTACAACATCATTATGAAACAACACTAATATAACGAAGTGTGTGAATTCTTTCCTTGCAGGTTAATACCAATGTAAATAAATAGCAAAAATATTTCTAATTTATTGAATATTCATCACCGGTGCGGAATATTTTCCATATAATGCATCTCTTATTTACAACTCATCTTCCATACTATACGTTGAGACTTTCTCCACATTTTCTTTATTCTAGGGCATATTGAAGTAAAGATTCAAGTGACACCATTTAAAGTCAAAGGGGAGGAAACGAACGCACACGCATAAAAAAGGGAAGAAGATTAAAGGGTTGCTTCCGCATTGAACTATTAGGAGTTTTTGAATTCCTAACTTCTCCGTTGGGTTGTTGTGTCTCTTTTTAAAAATTCAACCGAACACGGTTGCATATTTAATTCGAATAGGAGCTCAACAATAGCATGTCCCTCACGCTCACAAAGTTTCGCCTGGCGTCACGTGGGAAGGGTTACCACAACCGTGTTATGGTGTACGCCCACCGCCGTCACAAGGCCTTTTACTTGCCACCTAAGAAGGCTCACGCGAACAGCCCTCTCACCAACAAGGAGCCTGAGGAATACGGCAATACGTGGGATGCTCGTTGTGGGATTGAGTGGTATTACCGCACACGCCGACGTAACCACTACCGCCACTGGCCGTGGGCGCGTTGGACCGACGATCCGATCCGCCACCATTCGGATCCTACCAACCGCCGAACGATTTCTGCGTTGAGTGAAGCGTCGAATGAAGGGGTACCGGAATGGAACTACTACGAAGAGGTTGGGCAGGATTACGCGACGCCTTCGCACTTCCCCCTTACCTATGTCGGACCTTTTATTCACCAATACACGGGCAAGGTCTGGTCGCGCGACAGGATTCGCAATTACCTGGAGGTAATCCAGACCGGAACGCATCTCCGCACGATACAGGATGTCGCCCAACATTTGCCAGATCTCAGGGCATGGGGGGAGCGGCAACTCGACGCCTCAGGGCCTGTAATGGAGACGGACAATGGAAGTGCGCACGGCAAACCGGTGGTGATGGTGCCGTGTGGCTTTCTTCAGCATGTGGAACTAGTTGTTGCTGATATTGTAAAGCAAAATGATAGAAAACGATTCCGTGAGGAGCAGCACATGGCTGGTGTGCTTCGAACACGCGACATGGTGAGGTACTACACTCTGCCATATCTGAAGGGACCTGCCATGCCAGAGAAGCTTAAGCAGCCCTCGGGTGAGTATCCGTGGGGTAAGTATACCTATATGAAGGGGACTGTTAAAATTCATCCGCTGCAGCTTCCCGATCGTCGCTATACGCGTAATATGTATCCCTTGTAGTTCGTCGTGGCAGCCTCCCCTCTCATTCTGTTCCTTTTACCTCGCAAAATCCTGCTATTTTCGCCTCATCGACTACGGTTCCAAAAACGGCATTGATCCCCGTAGTATGCATAGAAGGCATTTACATGAGCTAAATTGGATTTTTTCAATAAAAATGAATCCATAGGAGCATGATTGCTATACTCTGATGAACAGAACACATATCGGACTTTTCGAAAAGTCATTTTGTTAGATAGGAACAAAAAAGACGAATTCGTGCTTGACTTGTATTTGGTATTTTTTATTATGACGGAAAAGTAAACTCAAATATCTGTTGTCATCATTTATTTTATTAGTATCATTACACATCGTCCCGTAAAGAGTGCACACAGCTAAGTTACAATTTATCAACAATCCATTTTTTTGCATAGTACTCCATACACAGTAACATTTTCAAGTATTAAACTTAGTTTTATAGCCACAAACCCTGTCATCTGAGGAGGGAGACAGATGTGGAGCTTTATCAATAATGTTAAAAGCAAAATCATAGAAACTGTTGCGCCTCCACCGCAACGTATAAAAAATCAATGTAGGCCCGAAGACAACGAAAATGATTCCCTTAGTGTTAGCACAAACAGTCTTGCGTCCTTTGGTGGTGCCTCTGAGGTCCAGTATGCAATGGATAAAATCACCAACGGCATTTTGTTGGCATGGAACAATGCTAATCAGGCAGCATCGAGCATTCTTCAGAACGTCTTCTCTAATGATGAAACCAAGGAGAACTTGGGGGAGGAACTGCTCACACTTTTCCAGATGAGCCACACCCGTAGCAAGGCACTAAGCCCAGATGAGCTCCTTCCATTGATAGATGAGGCTGTCAGGGTCACTGGGGTGCGTTCGGATGAGATCCTCTCCAAGGCTCGCTTCTTACTCGAACTAGGCATAGAGGAGGAGGTTACTCATACGAGTGACTTCATGGTCTGCTATAAGTTGTGGGACCTAGTGGTAAACCGGCGTCTGCAGGTTTGCCTGGACCTCCTAAAGCAGAAGTTCCCATGCGTTGAAAATGAAATCAATAATCATGCGCGTGAGCTAGAACTTGACATTCAATCAATTTTAGCAGAATCATCTAGCATAATGGAGACGATTTCGACAAAGGGGTATTCGCTTGATGATAAGAATATCGATAATCTGAAAAAAATAACTTTGGGGTCGAATAACAGTGCAGTTGTCGATTCACACAGCTCCAGTTCTTTGATAATAGACATAAGTCCTACAGCTCATAATGTGGCTACTACACTAGACTCAAATCCTGAAAGACTACAGCTCATAGGGGAAGGAGATCCATCTCAGGAAATGCTTGACCGTTTAAAACCTTCCCTGTCGGCGGGCGATGCATTCAAAATACAACAGATGAGCCCTCAGACGAGTCAAGACAAAGTAAATGTGCTGCCACAGAGACCAAAATCACCACCTTTGTTTCAACCTTTACTAAATAAACATGCGTCCTCTTATGCACCTCTTGAGATAGGTTCCGATTTATCCACTTCCGAAAAACTAGAACTCCGGTGTGATTACATACCTCAATTTACCCCATTTAAACTGTCCCAGGCCTCGTCGCGCGTCGTCAAAGCGCCAAGTGGTGGTGATCTAGAGGATCACAGAGGCCTGGAAATGTGCAATAGCGAGAGTCAAGAGAAGCGT